CTCTAAATAAACATATCTGAATATGTAACAGACTCATTCAGTTAAAACAAGGGTTATTTAAATGTGCACGTCTCTAAGAACACAACAATTTTTCTTACACGGCGCCGACAAAACTATGGTTTTTTAAGCCTATCAAATGTTCCTTTCTTCCCAAAGTTCCTATCACGAACTCGCAAGCAGGGGAGAGCCCGTCAAAGAATACACGAAGACGTTGCTAAATGTTGGCAGCTGCAGAGTTCGCACTAAAAACTGGAACTTCCGCCTCGGCGTCATGTAAGTATTCATATTCTCAAGATCACAGGGTAAAACGCCTTCTAAAAAAGCCATTAGGTTCCTAAGTTCTAAAGCAATCCAGTCATATAGAAATGATTCACATAAAGGATAAAAGGATATAGCTCTCAGCGTTCATCAGTCCCTGGGTGATGCGCCGTGCATTCAACTTTGTTAAGCATCGTTTAGAGGTGACTGAATGCCTATCTGGCCTTTACAATGAGTCATTGTGGCCTACCGACGTATCGAGCCAGTGCTGTAATCCTCCCAGACAAGTCTGGTAAAAATTTTCCGACCCCGGGACAGATGGAAGGCTTGATGGGCTAGGGGCTTAGGAATCGATCCCATGTTTATTACTGGGCGCCTTCGACCACTGCGCCACACACACCCCTAATTATCGCTAAGTTTCGAAAATCCATCTATCTGTCAAGTTGAAAACGGAACACTGCCATGGAATCTAAGCGTTATATCATACGTTTCGAAGTTCATCATGTACCACCCGTTGATTAGCACCTTTGGCGTTGCTGACAATAGAATGCCGCACCATTCCGCTGCGATGCACTAAATCAACTCGATCTACATTACTGCGCGAAACGAAGCCTGCAAGTTGGCAACACAAACTTTGTGCACTTCTTGACTCTGGGATCAGCAACATTTGGCGAGACGATAAAGCATTACAGTATTGGCGATTTTATTCTTTCATATTATTATACCTCATTTTCTTTGCCGTTCTTGCGCTTACCATACAAGACAAAAGGTATCGGTAATGCGAAAACTACCACTAGTCCCTTCACCTTTCCTGGTAGCACTTTGGTTAGAGACACGTCCAACAAAAAACCTGTGTTCGATCCCGTGACCCAATTCTCGCCGACCTTTTCGTCCCGTCAGAGTTGGCAAATTGGTACCACACCGAACTGGGAGGACAGAAGCACTGATTCGATACATCGATAGACCACCGCGGGTCATTGTGTAGATCATGTATGCGTCTATTCACTTTCAACGATACTTAATGAAGTCAAATGCATTTTCGCATCCCTTAGGGATCGATCAACGGCGAACGCTTCATTCTTTATGCTTTCACATCTGCATCACTTGAGTACTTATTGATCTGTTTATTTATACGATCTTATAAACTGTTCTTCTTTAGCTGATGCGAAGTTGGTATACGTCTTCGTTGTCGTTATCGTTGTTGTTGATGTTGTTGGTCGATGGCTGACGTTTCGGCGATTTCGCCTTCCTCACAGCCTAGACATATTTTATGTTAGAATACTTTTTATTATTTGGTGGAAAAGAAGGTTAAAGTATTAATGAAGATCAAACTTTCAAATATACGTCATATTGAACAGAAAGGCCACTCACTGTGATGTTACGTGCGGGACTGGCCCACACGTGGTTCACGTGGAGTCGCGAGCAAGACACGCCCCGGGGTCAAAATATCATTTTGGAATAGGGCGCCAGGTCACGCGTGATAGTGAGGCATTCGTCCTTCCGGTTCATCTTTGGATTTTTGAAAATTATCCAAAACGCCTCAAGAGTTTTGCGCGTTGATGTTTTCGATTCCTGCGCCAGGATCCGCACTGTCACTTCAAAATCATCGCTGTTGTGCTTCTGTGCCGTATGCGTACCTAGAGGAGTGTTTTGATGAATTTTAGCTTTCGCATCTAGATGTTCTTCTATGCGGACACAAAGTGGTCTACCCGGTTCCCCAATATATTCCTCACCTCATGCGTTACGTAAGATCAAGTATATTGTACCTAAACTCATGCAATCCCTGCCTCTCCCGTTAGGATAGATCATACAGTTTTATGAGCTGCGCAAACGATTACAGAGACGGTTGCGAACTAACTGATGGCGTAAGGTATTGGGTGGAATGACAGTATTCGTTACATAACTTTCAAGACCACTTTTTCTTAAGTATCTGTTAATGGCGTGGCTTACTTCATTTGACATGAAGAGTAGCTTGAAAGGAATCTTACGTCCGAAACATTATTTTGGGGAAATACCCCACGTTTTTGTCTAACCCGAGTGGCTTCTACTTCGTAGCCATTGGAAATGGCTATTTTTCGTGCCAAGTTTAGCGATTCCTTCATTTCCTCTTCTCCTGTGGCCACATTTTTAGCCGTACGATACATGTTTTTGATAAGCGCTTTTTTCATGTGTGAAGGATGAGTGCAGTAGTGAACCAGTATATTTTTACTACTTGGCTTGCGATACCATTTCGTTGTATAGCCACTTACTGAGAGCTTTGTTTGTATGTTTAAGAATGGAAGCCAGTTCTCGATTGGCTTTTCACGTGTAAATTTTATATAATCTGACTGTCGGTTTAATAATTCAAAGCACTCATCTATCTGTTCTTGTGTGGAACAGACGATGAAGCAGTCGTCAATGTATCGACAGTAGAGTAAGGGTCGGTGGTCGAGAACTGGAGTTTCCACCTTAGACATGAAAGCGATGGCAAGGGTTGGTGCTAAACGCTGCCCCATGGCCAATCCTCTAATTTGTGGAAAATATTTTCCAGACCACCTAAAGATTAAACAACTAAGACATTGTTTTAAGAAAGTCATTAGTTGCGCAATCGAAAAGCCGTACATTTTAACCTTCTTTTCATGCTCCACGAGCAATTCGAGAATAGCTTGCATTGCAGAGTCATTGGACACGTTGGTATAAAGTGATGTAGCATCGAATGACTCCATTACATGCGTGCTGTTTGGTTGCGCGCGCCGTAGATGGTCTAGAAATATTTTGGTGTTAGGTAGATGGGTTGGAATGAATTTCAGCAGCTGGGTTAGGATAAGGTTTAGGAACCACGTTATTCTATCCGTTGGCCCGGCTATACAATTGATAATAGGTCTAACTTTATATGATGATAGGTTCGTAGATGTAATATCATCAGTTGAAGTAAGCTTGTGTGTTTTAATAAGCAAATAAAGGACAAGGCAAATCGGATGTTCGTTTTTAAGTCGAGAAACAACTGAAGGCTCTAAGCCTGCCTTTGCCGTGTTGACCCACTCTTGATTTAATTTTCGGCATTGATTTCTGTGTTCCTTTTCAGAGAATGCTCGATAGAGAGAAATATCATAGAGATGCTCCTCTCTTATTCTAGTATCCAACTGACTAGGACTAACTACAAATTCTCCACCTTTATCACTAATAGAAAGTCTCACAGATTTTGAATTAAAGACCTCTCTAACCTGGCACATACCACATTTTTGTAGGTGTGTGATGTTGGAGCTTAATTACTTTTTTTGCTAGATTTTAGGTATGTGGAGAATTTCGTTCGATAATGAATGAAATGCAAGGTCAACATCGCTATTTGGTAGCTCTTCCTTAAAGAAAGTTCGGGGAAAAGATATTGGTGGTAGTTCCCTCCTTGATAGTACTTTAACCCTTCTAGCTAGGCCTTGTAACGTAGTTGATCTTGAAGCTCATGCAGACTACACATGATCCTGAGCAGGATTGGTTTAGAAATGGGTTGATTAGGCGCGAAACTCGGACCCAGTTCTAACTATGAACGCGCATTTTCCGGAAGCGTGATGCTTCCTAGCACAGCGACCCTGAATGCTCTTGGTATGCAGTCTCTTTCACGGTTGTTACTTGAAGCTTGTCCAGCAGCGATCCTCTGACTTGACGTTTTCTTGGCTACGAAGTAGAAACCAGTCGGGTAAGATAAAAACGTAGGATGGTTCCCTAAAATAACGCTTCGGACGTAAGTAAGATCTCTTTTAAGCTACCCCTCATATCAAATAAAGTAAGTTACACCATTAAGAGATACCTAAGAAAAAGTGGTCTTAAAAATTATGTAACGATTATTGACATCTCACCCAAAACCCTTCGCCACCAGCTAGTTCAGTTAGCTAACAATTGCCTCTATGATTGTTTGCGCAGCTAAGAAAACTGTACGATCTGTCCTAACGGGAAAGACGGGGATTGCATGAGTTCAAGTATAATATACTTGATCTCATGCAAAAACATGCGTTGAGGATATATTAGGGAGACAGGTAGATCGCTTTGTTTCCGCATGAAAAGCATCTAGATGGGAAAGTTAAAATTCGTTAAAACACTCCTCAAGGTGCGCATAGGGCACAAAAACACAACGGCGATGATTTTGAAGTGAATGTGCGGATCCTAGCGCAGGAATCAAAAACATCGCCGCGCAAAACTCTTGAGGCGTTTTGGATAAATTTCAAAAATCTAAAGATGGACCGGAAAAACGAATGCCTCACTATCACGCGTAACCTGGCGCCCTATTTCGAAATGATATTTTGACCTCCGGGTGTCTCTCGTCTGCGACCCCACGTGGACAAGTTATTGGTTAGCCAGTCCCACTCGTAACATCACGGTGAGTAGCCTTTCTCGCCAATATGGCGTCTATTTAAAAATTTGGTCTTCACTAATATTTTAGGTTTTCCTTCAACCGAATAATTAAAGTAATCTTATATAAAATATGTTCACGCAGGAAGTACCGTTGAGTCGAAAAGGTGGGCATGGAGTCGGGTGTTCTTTGTTCTCTTCACTACATCCTCGATCCTCTTGAAAGCTCCCCAAGCCCCTCGTTTTCTTCTGCTCAGCTCTGGAGCTAGGTCGTTCATCATATTGATTTCCCGACCTAGACAAACGTTACTGCAGCATTCCGAGATATTCATTCCGTTGAGCGTGAATAGGGCTTACGAAACCAACCCATTCGTCATGAGCAGGCCCATTTAGCCCATTTAGGCCCTCTCCAAGCCCATTTAGAACGGTTCGACTTCTTCTTCGTCATAGTTTAATGTCGGCGCGTAAGCGACGAAGGCTGTTAAAGCCGGAATTGTTCCACGTCTTTTAAATCGTAAACCTCCGATTCGGGTTGTTTCTTGTTCGAATGAATCGATGTTCATGGGCAAACCAGTGTTAACGAGAACGCCGACGCTGGCGACTCCTCTACTGTCGCATGTTCCGAGGAATAGTTCTTCTCTGATCTCATAGACGGCGTTGAATGGGTCACCTCGTCTCGTCATCGGCCAGGCCGATGACTTTCTGACTAACTTTCTTCCACAATTATGTCCTATATTATTCTTGCTTTTTTCATTTATTTTTGTGATCAGTCTAAATATTCAGTCGCTACACCACCTAACTGCTGGTATAAAACAGTTTTCTTGATTATCAAAACTTTTATGGATGAAACTGACTGACATACCTGTGATCGTGGTGGTGACAATGACGGCGATGACGTTTAGAGTTATCTGAATGCTCCGAACAGAGTCAATCGAGTAACGACAGCCTGACTTTTACTTGTGGTTCATCATGCATTGATATGCGAAAATGTGCTAAGCCGGATCATAGAGTGGCAGTCGATAAACCGGAGCTTTGCCGTATATTGGTAAAACACAGTGGTAGTAGTAGTGGTTGTTAACCTTACACTATTTCATCAATCCATTGCTGCGTAATCTCTCTTATTACTAGTTAGCTTCTTCGCCTCCTTTCTATCCATATTTTCCTTGCATATTGATATGACTACGTTCATACTGCTTATATGCACATTTGTTGGTATAATAATGTTCATGTTCATGCATTGTTTTCCTATTTATCTATCATCGTTCGGACAATTGCCGATCGTTCACTCGTGCCTACTGCCGTGGCAAACATTGATGCGTACAAGTAATCGCTTGTTATGAATTCAAATGGCGTACTGAGAAGCAAGGGTAAATATTCATTAAAGTCTAACGATAGCGACTTTCGAGTAATACCACCCGCCTTATAGCAGACTTTCCATTGTCCGGAAGGTTCATCGGCATGGAAAGCCTGAGTTAATGGTCCAAGACCTCATTGGTACATATATTTCAGGAGCCAGTGTGAAATCATAAAGAACGGAATATGAAGATTGTGGACTTATTTGTTTTTATTTTTAGGATGTTCCTGTTAAACCAACTCCAAGATACACCACCGTTCTAATATCAAACTAGTCGCATGGTGGTAAATCTCCCTCTAATCCACAGAGGCATCGAGTGTTTGTGGTGGTGACGACCTGAGGCAGACTTTGGCTTGGCTGACATCGGCACTCCAAAGAACCACAATGGCTGAATCAGCAAAAATGGAAATTTCGCTCGGTGCCGCACAACCACTGAGGACGAGCCATCCAAGTAAGTATTGTTTTAAGGATAACCCATATTTTCTTTGTCTCGGCCGATGATGAAAAGTAGTCCTGAAACGCCTAAGCAGAGGACCTTAATGGCTTAACCGTTTCAAGCTACTTCTTGCGCCAAAACAGCTTTTTTTAGTTAGCATAGGAAAACCAAATTCGTGAAGCCAGCAGTCTGTGCGCGAACCATGACGAAAAATGACGGAATGTAAACAAGTTATTTGTGTACCACAACTGCAAGGGAAAGAAGAAAGGCAACATAAGGTGAAGAATTAACTACTTTGCAAACAAACAAAAATTCATTTCTTTTACTATTACTTCGTTAAAATATTTGGGAGTTTAAATGGAAAATTTTGCATTACTACCTTGCAGAGATGTACGACATATAGAATCGCGGTTATTATTCACGTTCTTCTTTTGACTATTGCACGTTGTTCATCAAACGTAGCATGGTCATGTTAATGTTCGAATTTTGCTATATTTGTCGATGAGTTTGAAAAGCAGCTTCGCCAGTAGTCTTCTTTATTGAGACAGTTTTATCCTGCTAGACGAGAGGTGAAGTGGTGCCTACTCGGGAGGAGACTGAGTCTCTAAGTTAGAAAAACGCCAAAACCTACCGTATAGAAGCCATAGGTGTGCTAGTTGGCCAGTGGATTAGGGAGTTGGTCGGATTTGTCTTTTATCCGCCAACTGTACGTGCAATGCTCGACTTTCTATGAATTCGCCACGCGGGACTTTTTTTCGCAACTGCCGTGGACAGCCTCGAGTTTGGGTTATAACAGTTTATATCAATAACAACAGTACACCAAAAATACGTAATATGTGACTAAGTGTGGTTAACTGGATATATACGAGCGAGATTGAGATGAGAACAAGTGATGCAACTGAAGTAAGCTAGGTGGACATTACAGCTGGAGCGCTGGGGAACCAAGGGACTGTATGAAGACCGAACGAACGCTGCGAACACTTGAAGACGAGTGCCCATAGGCTGCCTGTATTACTTCTGTAATGGGTGGAGCTTTGAATAGCTCGCAGATAAAGGTTATACGAAAGGCTACGCAAAGTCTTAACAAAAGGTTATGTGAATGAGATGGAATAACGTGGGGTTTCACAGACAGAGTCAGAGACAATGCTGACCCAGGTCATGATACGGCACCTGTGGAGAAGTACATTAAATCAGACGGTATACCAGAGGCTTTTATCGAAACTACATGTCAAAGCGGTATTAAAACTTAAGTATTAAGCTGGATTTGCGAATGCTTTTACCAGCCACTGAAGCTTCGACTGTTACTGCTCTCTTCTCTCTCTTATCACTTACCTGCATTGTTTGGCATGTTCGGACGTTAGTTCGCGGTTGCCTGCAGCTCGTACGATTCCACGCTGGTGTATGAGCTCGAGCGTTTCTGGAGACAGAAGTCTCTTGGTGGCTTTCGAACTCTCAGCTTTCTAGCGCTAACGTGAAGATGTTGAAAGAGTCGATCGTATTCGCCGTCGATGTTATCGACAACGGCATCTTCCCAACAGCCGACTAATGAAATGAGTAAGTCCCAATTTATGGTGGTTCTGGGATTTCGGTTTTTGAATATAGCGGCTTTTTCTCTTTTCCGCGAGAAATAGAACCTTCACGATGGAGGCGATAGTCCGATCCCGACTAGGATTTTGGAACAACAGCGACATCGGTTAGGCAAAGCCTTCGGTTTGATGTGATGTCGTCTATTTCGCTATTGTACTTTCTGCTGAGAGACCTCACACGTCCAGCGTTGAGGGTGGGGCTTCTGGAACTGCGAGTTACCATGGATGGTCTTGGTCGCCATGATAAAGTCAGACAACTGCTCACCCTGTTCGTTTCGCACTAATGCGTGGGTACCAATATGACGTTCTTCAGACGTTCTTCTTGGTCCAATCTTAGCATTGAAATCTCCAATGATAACCTTGAAGAATGTATGTAGAACTTCTCTGTAGAACTTCTCTAAGCCCATATCGAATGCTTCGATTTCTTTTTCGTCATAGTTTGACGTCGACACGTAAACGACGAATATTGCTGAAGCCGGTATTGAACCACGTCTTTCTAATCGTAAACCTCCGATTCGGGTGGTTTCCTGTTCGAATGAATCGATGTTCATGGACAAACCCGTGTTAACGAGAACGCCGACGCTGGCGACTCGTCTACTGTCGCATGTTCCGAGGAATAGTTCTTCTCCGGTCTCATAGACGGCGTTGAATGGGTCACCTCGTCTCGTCATCGGCCAGGCCGATGACGTCGTACCTTATCATTCTTGCTTGCATGAGCAATTCTTCTATCGAGGACTCGGATGAAAGTGTACGTGCATTGTAGGTACAGATCGTCGTTCCTTCGTTAACACCTTAGTTCTTTGTAATCCACGCGCTTCCATTGGCTCTGATATTTTAGCAGCCTCGCCGTACTCGTGCTACCCAACGCTGCGAAATTGGGTGCTCTTTATTGGTCAAGGGAATGAGGCCGTTTTTTTTTTACTGTGTTTAGCATTTTTTGATACCCACGTATAGTTTGCTGGGCTCTGAACCTGAGGCTATACTCACGTGTAGCTTGCCAGGCTCTCCCCGAGTGGATATGGAGCTTATTTGTTGGAGGCAACTCCTAACTGCCTCCCACATACTTCCCTGTCACTTGATTTCAGGCTTTTGGCCGAATTGACTTGTAGAATACAGCCCGCATAAGCGAAAACGCACCCACACACGTATGCATGAATATGCCCCTTAAATACAGGAAGTACGTGCCAATTCGGAGCAGCAGAAGCAGTGAGTCCGTCCCCTGGTTTCCCTGCGTCTTAGGGAAACAAGCGGTCGCGTTTGGTCCGCGATTAACCCTCTATCCGCCACCTGGTGACGCGTCACGTAGCCTCGCGACTTACCGGCTCGAAATCCCTCAAGTGAGAGAGATCCAACTATCTATGCCAAGGTTTGTAGAAAGTCGGTCTTTTGAGTTAGCTGTTGATCGTCGGGGACTTGAGCAGACTCCATATGTCTTCGTCGCATATAAACGTAGTGCAGTAAATTCTGTAGGCTCTAGGAACTCTTTTAGTTCTATATTTTCCTTCTAAATCCTTCCCAAGAATACTCACGGTTCTTGAACATATTTTTGGCACGCATTTTTTTGTTCATTCATAAGAAGACACATTATTGGTATAAAATTTATTCACTTAACACATCAAGACATTCGACACTTTCGTTTCCTTCAGAGCCGAAGAGATCCAAATCGATGGTCCTGTGTTAGCTGGCCAGTGGATTAGGGAGTTGGTCGGATTGGTCCTTTGTCCGCCAACTGTATGTGCAGTGCTCGACTTTGTATGAATTCGCCACGCGGGACTTTTCTCCGTAACTGTCTTGAACAACCTCGAGTCTGGATATAACAGTTTATAGCAACAATAACGATACAATAATAATGTGCGATATTTGACGATATGTAAGCTGGGTGGATACGAGCTAGATTGAAATGTGAACAAGTACACTTGAAGGAAGCTAGGCGGACCCTGGATTTGGAGCACTGGTAGCTTGGAAGGCAAACACTAGTCTCTCTAACTGCTGGAGACCCTCCTATTTTGTCTGTAATGGGTGGGGTTTACAGAGGGAGTTAGAGATAGTGCTGATTCAAGGCATGACACGGTAGATGCGGAAAAGTACATCAGATAAGACGGTATGCCAGAGGCTTGGTCAACATAGAACTTGATCAGATAGCGAGGGAATAGCTCGTATGGAAAGACCATATAAAAACAACGCAAAGGTTTATCAAAAGGTCCTGTGAAAGAGATGAAATAGTCTGTACAAAGGCTTCTACCGAGAGTACATGTCGAAATGGTCTAAAAACTTATACATTATGAATGGATAGATTTAAGATAGTTA